CAGGGATGGGTTATTAGTCAGTGGAATAAAACTCATTTTCTTAAATGAGATTGGTCTTGTTTCATGCAAATTATTAATGAGGGTAAGGAAAACGTGTTAAAGAAGTTCTCTGGGCAAGACGGAGCATTCTGTGGTGAATATTCAGCGGAAAGCCAGTTAGCTGAAACTAGGTTGTAATTGTTGTCACAAGTGGTAAATTTGAAACTTAAAGTGGATCTTCACCCTTCACCTCTCCATCCTGTCCTCCCCCCGCAACATGGATATTGGTCTTTTTTTTTTTTTACTTACTTCTCTCCTTAAAAAGTTCTCGGCCCACCCCCCATCCTCATTCGCCTAGGCAAATTACATCAGTGCCTGTAGTGCCACCTGGAAGCATGACGTGCATATCCTAGGAGGCACCGGGAGCATTATCCTAGTTCCATTCAGTGGAGGAGGAGGGGGTGGGCTTAGCGGCACCTGCACCCAGAGAAGCCAGCAGCTGTCACAAGGCAACATGGTGGTGTGGCACCCATGCAACAGCTGCAAGGTTGGATTCCACCAGGGCAACATTGGATCAGCAGGCTAGGTGAGTATCCCTACTGTGCAAAACACAGCAACAGGTAAACAGGATAAAAAAAAAAAAACAAATTGGGGGAAGGAGAAGACTGAAGTTCCTCTTTAACTTATGTTATGTTGAAAAGCAGAGGCTATTTTCAGTGAAAAGTGTCAAAATGATCAAAAGACCTAGAGATGAAGGCAGCTGAGGTTATTTGTAGATCTTGACTTTCCAAAGTTGAGCTTGGCCACATTCATTCTGTTTCTTGAGTTTCTGTACTGATCCTTTAATGTGAAGAGTGCACTTTTTTAACAAAAAAGGTGTTGCGGGCATGGGAGGCAATAAGTCAGAGTTACACTTACATTGTAGCTTCCCCTCCGCCATACTGCCTTCACAGTCTTACTGTAAATTCACCTATCCCTGATCCAACAAGATATTACTGACTGGAGCACAGAGACACATGACAAAATGTTCCCGATAGAGTCTACACCTTTCTAGGATAAAGAAAGGGATGGTCAGAACTCAGGATAAGATTTACATTTAATTTCAGCCAGCTGTGTCTCTAAATCTACTAATATTTTTGACAACCTTGGGTTATGTTTTTTTCCATCATATGTTCAGTTTGAACTGCTCAGTTTTCTGACCAGTTTACCAAAAATCTATCTTTGACAACGTTCGCTTTCTGAGTAAGCCTTTAAACACAATGCAGTTTCTACTGCAAAATGCAACTCCCAAACTCTTTTCCATAGTACAGAAAGCGGTACTATTTGTATTTGAATACCTAGTACTGCTGTTTTTGGCACAAGAGCTTCTACAAAAACATTTTCCACTCATATGTTCTGGCACCAATAAAATGTATGAGTACGTTTTTGTGTATGATATGCAATAGGCACTTACAATACAGCACATATTTTGCCAATAATTATATTTAGAAATGCAAATCCAAGTAATTTACCCTAACCCTCAACTTACGTATTTAAATGTTAAGTTCTGCTACTAACCCCAATTGAAAGTTTATCTAAACCCAAAACTTTTTTTCTTGATATGGATAGAGTAGAAAAGGATTAGAACCGCTGTCAGGTTCTTATTGCTGTCTGTGCAGGACTGGTTGCTCTGGCACAATATTCCTAGCCATTTATCTGTTGTCAGCTTCGGTTACACACTGTAATCCTTAATTGCTTCAAAATTAGAATGTTTTGATGTCTTGGTCATGCTAAAAGCTGCTATATCTGCCAGCAGTAATCGAATGAAAAAAAAAAATCCAACAGGCTGGTTGTACCCAAGTCACTTGATGGATCAACTTGGGTACAATCAGGCTGCCCATACATGGTTTGAATAACTTGGCCAGTCCCTGCTGAATCAACTGAATTTCAATTCATGTATGGCTGGCTTAAGGTCCCAATTTCATGCATATATACACACATGTAATGTCACCTCCTGCGCTCAGAGACCCAGATCAGGAATTAGTGGACTGACCATCCTTCGCAAAAACATATCCATCAAATAATCAAAAGCTGTGCAGCCCTTTTGGAAGGCTGGGGAAGCCTAGGACAATACTGCAAAAAGGAACAAGAAAAAGGTGCATCAGCCTTGCGCATTACCTCAGCGACAATAAATTTATTGAAGGATAAAACAGGTATATACTCACAAACCCCACAATTTCATAAGCATGTGCTATCCAGTACTGGACAATCAGACCAAAGTTATGTACAAGTCCCAAGTGAAGGAAGACCCTAAAAAATATCTGACGCATTTCGAAGGAAGATCCCCTCTTCCTCAGAGTCAAACTGGCTCTGAGGAAGAGGGGATCTCCCACTGAAACGCATCAGCCATTTTTTAGGGTCTTCCTTAATTTAGGACTCGCACATGACTCTGGTCTGATTGTCCAGTATTGGCCTTTTTTTGTTCTTTTTTGCAGTATATATACACACACATACACTAGGGTAAATATAGAACTTATTAACTTACCAGCATGTCCATGAAGACATTGCCCTCACTTGGGACAAACAAAGGACTCTACTGCTGCACAGCAAAAGTGCTATTAGATGACATGTTAGATATTAGATGGTAATAGGAAATGCATTGTATGTATTTGAGCAGAATGATGTTGGGTGTAAGGGAAATTGTCGAAGTAGTTTTTGGCAAATTGACATGTTTGTTTCACATTCAGTTCATTCTATTGTAGATGAGACACTTTATAGCAAAAGTAAGCTGCATGCTATTAAATATGCAATCCATGAATTATTTTCTTGACTTTAACACTATCATTTTCAGACTGATAAGCTTGGAAGAAACCATGCTGCTCTGAGACTTCACATTTGACCCACTCAGGCAAGCTGCCTAGACAATGTCCTCTGCTAGGGGATTCTGTTTAAAAGTAAACCTACGATAACAATGAAAATAAATTCACATTTAATTAGACATTTTCGTCCCTCATTGCAATAAAAGGTTACTTTAAGTGCAGAAAATGTTACCTTAGTAAACACTTCAAAATGTGTTTCTGGTATAAAGCCTGTGCTAGGTCGTTAGACCAATGAGAAGACATTGGTCATGTGATCTCTGCCAAAAGGGGAAAGCAATGTTCAGACAAAGCTGCTGGCTGCTCTTCCTAAATGTGAATGCCACAGGATCAGTGGGGATTAAATGTATTCATGGAGTAAATTAGGGGCGGAAGAGAGACATGCTACTCTACATAAGGCAAGTTAAAAAGTTTCTAAAGCCTAAAGGTTTATCACCTTTGTGCATTCTATGAAATTAAAAACCTTAAGTGTGCAGCTCTTTTTTTCCCCAACCCACGCAATACTTATGAGTCTCATCTTGATCCAGCGATGTGCACGGGAGCAGCGGCCCTCACCTTCCTCAATGGCTCAGACACAGCAGTGGGAGCCATTGGCTCCTGCTGCTGTCAATCACAGCCAGTGAGGAGGGAGTGGGGGGCAGGGCTGAGCCTTGCTATGTGTGTCTCATGGACACACAGAGCAGAACTTGCAAGCGAGCATGCACAAGTGCCCCCATAGCAAGCAGCTTGCTACGGGTGCACTCAGCAGGAAGAGGAGCCGGGAGCGGTGGCAGGGGTCCCAATAAGAGAATTGGGGCTGTTCTGTGCAAAACCTCTGCACAGAGCAGATATGTATAACATGTTTGTTATTTTTTTTTTTTGCCATTACAATCACATTTAACAAAAAAAAATGAAAAACAAAATGTTTTAAAGCTGCTATCATCTTCTTATTTTACCCTTTAAAATACATCTACTTGAAAAACTAATTTCTTTTTCATTTTTACAAAGATGTAAATCTCACTTTATTGACAAAATATTTCTATGAACCTCAGAGGACACAGGAGGGCAGCTGGGAGTCATTTATTCACATAAATAAAAAGAAAGAAAAATGGATAGAAATGTGAACTAGACGTGTGAAGTTGATTAAACAAATCCAAAAGACAGATTCAACTTTCAATCCCTAAATTTGATGTCGGAACATTTAGGGAGAGAGATGAAAATCCCTTTATGGAGCAGATGCTGCAGATGATCAGCGAGAGCTTCTGGAATTTATGCGCTGCAAGTCAAATCCTCCGTAAAGGCGATTTGCCCCTGTCGGTGTGGCGCACTTACTGGTTCACCTGCAAACAGAGAACGTGACCCAGTGATCAGCAGCCGCTGCTCTGCAATAAACAGCCCGTAATCTGTGGATGAATTCCGGGTCTAATCAGGCCACATGCAGATTAAACAAACTGCGAGGAATAAAAACTAGATTAAAATATTCGAGCCCAGTGCTGCAAGATTACCGGGACATTTTACCTCTTTAAATCCTAATTTATTTCAGAGGCAAGCTGAAGTTTACAAGAGTAAGTCTGCCGTGATTATGGGAGCATGTCACAACACTGCCACTGCTTTGTGATGTAGGTTAACCATTCGCCTTGGTAGCAGAAATCACCATCCAAGCTGAGGCTTAAAGTGAAAACACAGATTTCACTGCAATATAAGGAACATGAGCCACTGAGCAATCAAACCTGAATTGTAATGCAAATAAAAAATACCACTTAATGCAGTTATATATATTGATAAAAAAAACATTTTAGTACGTTTTGAAATGTCAGTAGATTAAGCAGGGTTCTAACTAAAAATCACAAAGCCCCATAGCAAACGTTTGATGGTGCCACTATGTGTAGCAGATGGACATTAAAGTGTTACTAAACTCAGGATCCTGTATTCACTATATCTGGTCTCCCTGGACCCTGCATTCACTATATCTGGTCTCCCCGGACCCTGCATTCACTATATCTGGTCTCCCCGGACCCTGCATTCACTATATCTGGTCTCCCCGGACCCTGCATTCACTATATCTGGTCTCCCAGGACCCTGCATTCACTATATGCGGTCTCCCCAGACCCTGCATTCACTATATCCTCCCAGGACCCTGCATTCACTATATCTGGTCTCCCCAGACCCTGCATTCACTATATCTGGTCTCCCCGGACCCTGCATTCACTATATCTGGTCTCCCCGGACCCTGCATTCACTATATCTGGTCTCCCCAGACCCTGCATTCACTATATCTGGTCTCCCAGGACCCTGCATTCACTATATCTGGTCTCCCCGGACCCTGCATTCACTATATCTGGTCTCCCCGGACCCTGCATTCACTATATGCGGTCTCCCCAGACCCTGCATTCACTATATCTGGTTTCCCAGGACCCTGCATTCACTATATCTGGTCTCCCCAGACCCTGCATTCACTATATCTGGTCTCCCCGGACCCTACATTCACTATATCTGATCTCCCAGGACCCTGCATTCACTATATCTGGTCTCCCCGACCCTGCATTCACTATATCTGGTCTCCCCGGACCCTGCTTTCACTATATCTGGTCTCCCCAGACCCTGCATTCACTATATCTGGCCTGGTCTCCTATATCCTCCCCGGACCCTGCAGTCACTATATCTGGTCTCCCCGGACCCTGCATTCACTATATCTGGTCTCCCCGGACCCTGCATTCACTATATCTGGTCTCCCCGGACCCTGCATTCACTATCTGGTCTCCCCGGACCCTGCATACTATATCTGGTCTCCCCCGGTGCATCACCCTCCCCGGACCCTGCATTCACTATATCTGGTCTCTCCCCGGACCCTGCATTCACTATATCTGGTCTCCCCAGGACCCTGCATTCACTATATCTGGTCTCCCCGGACCCTGCATTCACTATATCTGGTCTCCCCGGACCCTGCATTCACTATATCTGGTCTCCCCGGACCCTGCATTCACTATATGCGGTCTCCCCAGACCCTGCATTCACTATATCTGCATTCACACTATATCTGGTCTCCCCGGCACCCTGCATTCACTATATATGGTCTCCCCGGACCCTGCATTCACTATATCTGGTCTCCCCGGACCCTGCATTCACTATATCTGGTCTCCCCGACCCTGCTTTCACTATATCTGGTCTCCCCAGACCCTGCATTCACTATATCTGGCCTCCCTGGACCCTACATTCACTATATCTGGTCTCCCCGGACCCTGCATTCACTATATCTGGTCTCCCCGGACCCTGCATTCACTATATCTGGTCTCCCCGGACCCTGCATTCACTATATCTGGTCTCCCCGGACCCTGCATTCACTATATCTGGTCTCCCGGACCCTGCATCCTATACCCTGCATTCACTATATCTGGTCTTCCAGGACCCTGCATTCACTATATCTGGTCTCCCCGGACCCTGCATTCACTATATCTGGTCTCCCGGACCCTGCATTCACTATATCTGGTCTCCCAGGACCCTGCATTCACTATATCTGGTCTCCCCGGATGCATTCACTGGTCTCTCCCCCCGAACCCTGCATTCGCTATATCTGGTCTCCCACAGTACACAGAACATGGAAGTGAAGTTATTTTAGTAAATATAAACTGTTAAATACCTTTTCTCATCAGCAGTTAAAGCAGTCCTGTGACTTCTATCAGTGTTCAGCCCAACACTAACTAAAGCTTGTAGGAGTTTTCTTTCTGCTCTAGGAGGATGCAAAACCCCTGACCTCTGTCTGACCAGTGCTGATTGGCCCTGTGCTGATCACATGCACTCTCACAAGAAGAAGAAAAAAAAAAACCTCTCTAACAATACACACCAAACTGAGCATGTGCGAAATGCACACGGTTCAGTCTGTCTTATCAGGAGATAAGAGGTGGTCGCTTGAAAAAGGCGAGAAACAGAGAAGAAATAATCAAACAGCCTTTTTACACAATGCGGAGGATTAACCCCCTAGGTTCCACAGTGAGTATAACAAGCATGCTTTACTGCATTTAAAGGCTGATTTTAGTGTTGTGGGTTTAGTAACACTTTAACCCCCTCTAACCCCCCCACTAATGACCCTTAAGGCAATGCCACAACCTCTGCCACACACCAAGGCTGGAGGAGAAGTACTTTATTGGGCTATACACCCAAGGCACCAACTTGCTGGATCTTTGTGACAGCAGCTGCCCCTAAACGAATGCGGCAGCACAGTCCCACTCTGACACAATGGCGGTCTTTGGTAACAAGAAGTGTCTGAGACTCCGTTTCCTCTCACTCTCCACATTAGACTGTCCCAGGCCCTGGCTTCTCCTTTATTTTCCTTCCTCTGCAATGGACCATTCTCCTGGAACTTGTGGCCCCATACAATTCTCCACCTAATAGAGGCTGTCTCCTGGGGACTACATCTCCCACAGTTCCAAGTCTCTCAGTTCCTTGCCTGGGCTCTTCCTTTCCCAGGCTGCACTGTAGCTAATCACTGTGTATTCTGCATCCAAGGTAGTGAGCTGATCTCTCCTACGCTGGCTGCAGTTGCAGTCCTGCCACAGCGCTTGCGTCCTCTCTCTCCCCACAAAGCCACCCCATACACTTCACTAGTGGCTGGGGTGTGGAGAATGACAGCTGCAGTGTGAGGGCAGTGGTGACAGCCTGGTCCACGGGCTACACACCTATGTACATCACATTTTACACCCTCATAAAAAGGCTCAGTCAAGTAGGTTTTCGTGAAGGCTCACCCCCGATTTACTTATGATCATATCTGCCATGCTTCCCTACTGCTCCGCGGCCTCACAAAGAATACAGTGCTTCCGAGTTGGGGGAGCACATGATCTTTTCTTAGGATGCAGTGCTTAGGCCAGAGCAGCCAATCACCAGACCCAAACATGGTCACATGGTCAGTAGGATGATCATCAACTCCATGTAAGCTCCAACACTTACACATAGGGTTTGACTACTGAGTCCAACAGAACAGTCTTCTGGGCATTTGACATCTGGGAGTCCTTTCTCTTTTTCTCTAATGTCAGGTGGCCCTTACACCTGGGTGGAGCCGCACTTGCTGACGTCATGCCGCCATTGCCGAAGGTCAGAACGCCGGCCATCTTGGTACTTCATTTACTTTCATTTTACTTGTTCTTCCACGTGGATTGTCTTATATTCAATATTTAATAAAATACTAAACTATATACAATTTCTGGCTCCTGTGGTGAGCTATTCCTCATAGGAGAGGGTCCACCTGCATTTTGCCCTTGGCTGAGCATCCTATGCAGAGGCTTCATTGCTGTTACCTGTGTCCAGATGAGATGTGCTTACATGCTGTTTACCAGTAGATGTCTGGTAAGTGTACATCTGACAGAGGTGGTGGATTCCCTATTGGAGCACTTTACAGTATTTCACCGTGACTGTCGTACCTATATCCTCACGGACATTTTTAGTTTTTACTCCACTATTATATGGACTTTATTTATTCCCACTTTATATGCTGCACTATACTATTCCACATTTATTGAATGATTTATTGAATAATTTATCGACCTTTATATGTTGCACTTGACTGTTCCGCTGATCATTTTTTGCTATATGTCAGATTGACTTTGCACTTTATTATTTCACTAAATCATTCACAATTTTTTTTAATGCTGCGCTTTCTATATATTATCTGTAAGGAGTTGTTACCTGTACCTTTGTGCTAGCTGCTTTATAGTTCCAGTTCTCGCCTACACTTGATATTTAGAACAGCATATGTTATGAAGTGTGAGTCTCTGGTCTGTTCAGCAGTGATTATGCACTCTGTGTGAAGATGCACCCCCAAAGGTGCATCCATGAGTCTGCATGGGACATTGTTTATGAGAAGGAGAGTACTGCCGCAATTTTTTTTCTCTTACTAGCGCTGGTCTATTTTTGTTTTTTTTTATTAACCTCCCTGGCGGTATTCCTGAGTGTAGCTCGGGGTAAAGTTTCTGTACCAAAAGCAGTAACCCCGAGCTACACTCGGGCTTACCATGCGGCGCTGCATAGGGATTCCCTACAGCGCTTACCTTGTCCTTCGCTCCTGTGATGTGTTCCCTGCAGCGTCCCCGGCCATCTCCTCCGGCCGATGCTGGCATCCGGCTTCTGTGTTCCGGTCCCTGTGACATCGGGGCGTACGGGCGCCGCCAGCGGTGGGAAATTTGAAAATTTAAAAAAATGTCATTTTTTCAAAACCAGTTTTTCATAGTAAAACATTGCTGTTTCAACCCATTTCACATACATATTGTCCCGAGTGCTTTGTCCTGTGCCCTGCCTGCATTTTGTCTGTTCTTTCTGCCTGGAAACTGAGAAACGTCCATGGAGTCCAAAAAGTGTCCCTTTAAGTCAAAAGCGGGTTTAGATCAGCTAGAGAACAGCGATAGTAAATCAGAACCACTTGCAGAATTGAGTGATAATGATTTGTGTGGAAATTCATCATCAGACACTGAAAACGATTTTGCGACCTTGCTCAGCAATGTACGAACTTGACGCTCTATTTCAAATTTCAGTGTTTTCGGTTTGATTGTATTATTGAATTAAATGTATTATTATTATATTATTATTTTTTATGATTATTTATTAAATTATAATTTATGATTTCGTGGTTCAAATTTTATCATACCCGGGATGTTTAATAGACTCTTGTTCGGACAGATTTCAGGGAGTTATTCCTAAAAATTACAGCCTACAATAAAAAAAAAAACTACATATTTCCATGCAAAATAATGGTACCGCTTTCAGCACCAAAAATCTGAAATAATCATACCGCCAGGGAGGTTAAAAAGGTGGAGTTGGGGTTTAAAATGTAAGTAAATCCCAGCATGTCATTGAAATAGCTGTCATACAATGCACTGAAAATAAGCATGGGAAACAAATGTCCTCTCCATGTAAGTTACAATGTACATATACTGTATTGCAAGAATTTTAACAAATTCAACTGTAACAAATGCAGCACTGCATCTGCAGCACCTAGTATGGTCACCTGGGGCAGCATTTCAAACTCAATTTAATTGCAGGCTGCATCAGCATTATGGTTGCTCTAAAAGAGACAGTTGTATTTGGAGAAACGATGTCCAGAGCATTCCCTCCGCCCTTACATCAGATGTCAAGAGCCCCCCCCACCGTCAGAAGTCGATAGTCCGCCACCCTTACATCACAATGCACCCCCTTACCTTGTGCTGCTGCCAGAAAAGAGCTGGGGGCGGAGCTGAGAACCAGGAAGTGCAGGGTCTGTAGGAGGGCCAGAAACCAGGAGAGGCGGAGATGAGGGGGTGCTGAGGCTGCACAGAGAGGTGAAGGATCTGTAGGAGGAGTTCTGTCCCTCTCTCTGCTGCTGGCTGCTGAGATTGGGAAGGGGGCCTGTGTTTCTCCGTGCAGCCGTAGAAAGGCTTGTCCCCCCCCCCGAACAAGCCTTTCTACGGCTGCACGGAGAAACACGGGATTGGGCAACTTTCTGCTGCCGACTACTGAGACAAAGTGAGGGAGACGAGTTGTCGCAGTTGCAGAAGAGGTGCAAGGGCCACATGAAATGGATTGAGCCTGCAGGTCTAGTGTTTGACCTAGGGGAAAAGGCTTGTAGCACAGTAAACTGGAGAAATGAACCTCAGGCTCCGTGTAGACTTTTAAAAAGCCCACGAACAAATAATGGGCTTCTGCATGAGAGACAAAGTAGCATTGCACAGAGCTATATAGCCTGCAGGCACAGGCTGCACAAAAAACTGTTTATTATGCACTATCAAGATTTTGGTATGTTGCTGGAGTTCACCTTTAAAATACAACATCGATTGTGTATTGATTTTTTTTTTAAATGGAGGAAAGCATCGTTCACCTCCTGGACAGACAAAGCCCGGAAACCGATTGCTAAGTTTATGGGTGCATCTGCGATAAAAATAATACAAAGCAGATTGCTGGCTTGATAGTTCTGTAAAGTTAGACACACAAATACATTTGCAAACATATTTCTATACATATGTCCACACACAT